GCAGCAGCTTCCGCGTGGCGATTGACTTGCACGCGAATTGCTCCTTCGTCGCCTTGTGCGTCACCAGATACGTCACGCCGAACTGTCCGCGGCCCAGCTCGGGCCCGAAGACGTACATGGAGCGGACGTCCTCCATGGGGCGGCCCAGCACGCGGCCCAGGGAAGAGGGCGCTGGAGGAGGGGGGGAGGGGGTGGAGTTCGGAGGGAGGACGGCTATGCCGTTGTGGCGGTGGGGAGGGTCGTGCGAGTAAGTGCTGTTGCTGCTGCAGTTGTTGCCCATCGACTAAGACTCAGACTAAGGTCAATGCGGAGAAGGGTGGTTGTACGGTACTTAAATCAAGGTGGCCGGCTCAAGGACTAAAATGGACTTTCCTGTTTAATCGTTAATCGTTAATATTTAATTAATGGACGTCTTGTCTTAATTATGCTTTGGTAAAAAAACTACTCCTCCAAGATAATCACATTTTTGTCTCATAATTCAAATGTAATCAATAAGTATAACTATATTAACAATTCTAATTTATTCGGTTTAACTCTAAAATGGATGGGAAAAAATATACTCCTCAGTTCTATATTAAGTATAAACTTAAATTGTTATTAAAAAAAACTAATAAATAGATTAAAAAAATTATAAAATTAATCTTAATTAATTTCTTTTGCTAAACAGTATACAACACAATATATTTAAGAACTATTTTCACCCTCAGTAAATTATGTACCTTCTTTTGAATTTAGAATGTAATTTTCATCCTTTTGCAATATCATTTCTTCAAATTCAAATTTATTTAATTCAAACTTTAAATCTTGATACATTACATTGAATTAAAGAATACCTTGCCAATATTACACTGGTTGAATTAGTATTAGTACTACACTCGAATTCAAGCTTTATAGATAAAACTTTTCATAAAAATTTCAATAATTTATTTTTATAATTTTCTCATCAACTTAAAAAATTATAACTCTTACACATTTAATATAATGAAACATTCATTATTAGTACTTAAACATCTACCGCTTTTCTTAAATTTTATTTAAGTTTCAAAATAACTCAACAATACACAAAAAAGTTTCTGTTAATAATAAAACTTACAAACCATTTATCAACTTTGGGGGAATTAAAAGAGGAAAATACACTGTTATCAACAGTCTTCTGAAGGTATATAATAACAGTACAAATTGCCAAATGGGAGGAACCTAAGCCCGGTAGCCTGTCAAATGGTTGTCAAACTCGAGGGTGACCATCACCATGTATTAAAAATATAACCATTATTATAACAAATACAATCTCAGTGAAGTTTTATTATTAAATAGAATACATGGCACACTGACAGACCTTACATTACAGGTAGCAAACCTGTATTCACAACCTGCTAAATGTTTCATCAGATGTAATAATATTTACAGAGGGGGGATGAATAAGAAAGAACATGACCAACTACCTAATCAAAGTACAATTTCCTACCTTGTTATCCCCTCCACGAGATTGTCAAACGACTTGGTTATTCTCGCAATTTCAAAGGATTTCAGAACAACCATTCGTCAATAATCTAACATAAAAGGGAGTAACAATGTAACATGCTGATCAAATTTGTTAATTACGGAGACAACGACAACGGAAAACGATAACTAGCTTTAAATCCAACTCTGGGGCACGGGGTAACCTTTGATTGATTCACATGGTTCACTAACTAGATCTCTCCCGCTGCATGATCCACGGCTAGAACCCCCCGTCAGCATTGCCATCAGACTTCCACCATGAACCCTGCCTTCAGGAACAGCAACCGACATTGGCAAGTGACCACCCTCCCTAGATGAGACATGACCAGTTGCAGCAGCTTCATACTGTTTGAAGTCGGAGCAGGTTGCAGCATTGCCTAGACTACTCCCCATTTTCATCATGTCTATATCCATGTTTTTGTCAACGAGTACCTGCTTAAGTTCATCTGGTTTACTCGAATGAGGATCCTGAACAACAGATCCCAATGAGAAACCTCCATGAACCCTCTTATCATGCACTAGCCCGCTATGGAGAGCACACAGACCTGTTTTCCCCCTTGCAAAAGAATTGCAAGGACCATCCTGTTCGATGCCATATTCTGAACCAGGATGGCCCCAAGAGCATCTTTTACCTCCCCCATGTGCTTTGCAAAAGTCAGTGCTTCCTTGTGCACTCTTTCCACAGCCTTCAAACTTGCATCTCTTGCCTCCCCCATGGCGGACACAATGATCAGTCCTTCCTCTAGCACTCTTTGTGCAGCCTGGTACAGCACACCTCTTTCCACCCCCATGTGCCACACAGAAGTTGGTGCCTCCGTGTACACTTTTAGTGCAAACTCCACCACCCTGGTATGTACAGCGTTTTCCTCCTCCATGGCCCTTGCAAAAGGGGGTGCTCCCCTCAGCACCTTTGGTGCACCCTGGTGCTGTACACCGTTTCCCCCCACCGTGTGCTTTGCAAAACATTGTGCTTCCCTGTGCCCCTTTTGTACAACCAGGAGCTTGGCATCTACGCCCTCCACCATGTGAGATGCAAAGACCTGATAGGCCTTCTGCACTCTTGGTGCAATTTTCTCTCTGGCACCTCTTGCCACCACCATGCCGGATGCACAATCCAGATTTCCCTCTGGCAGCCCGGGTACAACTTTCATGACTGCATCTCCGGCCACCACCATGGGCAATGCAGAAATCTGTCCGTCCTTCTGCACTCTTTGTGCAACCAAGGAATTCACATCGCCTGCCACCTCCATGTGCCTTGCAGTACACTGTACGACCCTCTGCTCCCTTGTGACAGCCAGGTTTCTGACACCTCCTACCCCCACCATGAGATATACATCGTCCAGAAGCACCTCTGGCACCCTTTCCACATCCCTCCACTTGACACGTTTTAGAATTACTATGGCGAGGTAGTGGCTGTTGCTGCTGTGTAAGCCCGGAAGTACAGGTGCCTGAACTTTTTGGTCTGCTTGACGAGAGGTCCACAACAATGGGACTGTGATCAAACTGCTCCGAAGCCTGATTTAAAAGAAAACTAGTACCAGTATTTGATGATGGCAGAACAATCCCTGACTTCCAACTACATGAAGTTGATCCCTCATCTGTATTTTGTGTCCCATTGAATGCAAATGGCATCTCCATATTCAATTGAAGAGGTGATGGATTTAGATTAACGCTTGTAATATCTGACTCACATGGCCCGGTGGAAAGGCTCAGCTCCAAATCAAATTTCGGCTGCAGCTCCAATGTCTTCAAATTTGAATTAACAGGCTTCTTCATGCTCTGTACCTTATCACTGCCAAGATGAAGAGAAAAGTTCAGTTCAATATCCATAGATGATTCCTCATCAGTATCTTTGGCTGAAGACATAGCAGTGCACGCAGCAGCTGAACTCCCCTTGCTGTCTGAGGAACTGGTTGAACGCCCAAGCCCAAGGGACAAAGAAGAGTCAACTCTCTGACCCTTGCATCCATCAATTAAATCCCACTTCCTTTTTGTTCCCTTGGAAGAGGACACATAGGAGGGAATTGAAGAACCAGGTCCAGGGGAATCAAGCCGTAAGATGGTATCTGTACCGTGATGATCACCTCCCCTTCCTTCAGCTTGCATAGAATTGCCCAAAATCTTGAATGCATTTGCAGAATGATTAGCAGCAAAACCCAACAAGTGCTTGAACCTCAAGTCCATGAAACCACTGCAGAAACACTATCTAATCCTATTTATGAATTTAACAGTACAGTGTTCCTGTCTTCCGGGTAAAAAAAGAGATGTATATCTACAAAGTTGGGGTTAGATGTGTCAACAGGTGTGTAATGCACCTCCGCTGACAAATCCTGAAGTATCACGTCGATCCATCTAAGCTGAGATTGTGTTTGTCAGTTACAAGTACAAATTAACCTTACGAGATCTGACTCCCTCCAAAACCCACCATGCAAGCAATCATCCTGTTCACAACGAACCACATGGTTAGAACTGGAACATCTGCCAGAATAAACATGGTTGCGACCAAATTTGGCATGCCTATATAAATAAAAGTGGGTAATAGATGGCATCAGAAAGCGAAAAGCACACATACACAAAAAATAAAAACTTTGGATTGTCAAACAACAGATATTCAATGGTCCAAAATAAGCAAAAGGCTAAAAAATTATAATTAAAAAGGGAAAAAAAAATAACTTTTGTCCAAAATCTTTCTAACAATTGTTCACCAATCACCACACAAAACGAAAACTTGGATACAACATAGAGAACACGGATAAATCTACTCATAAAAGAATAGCGTTTAAATAAATGAACAGGGTACACAGATCTTCATTGTGTAAGGGCGTCATAAGCTAGCAAAAAAAAAACCCTGTAGTTTATAGTTATATACAAAGAAAAAGGTATAGAATTTCATAGCGGCCCTTCCAAAAATGTTACAAACCAACCCAAATATCAAAGGATGAAATTTTAATTTAAGAAATTGGACTGAATAGAAAACGGTAGAGATAGCTGTGTGCCTGAGTCACTGTTCAGCCAACTCCAAGTGAACGCTTAGTTGATGTAGTCGATAGTTATTGTATAAAATAGTGTGCATAATGCAGCATTTCATAAAACAAGAACATTGTTTTCTCTGTTAGTTTGTTTGTCACAAGATCAAAATAAATGCGGGTCAGACCCTGCTGACCACCACTTTATACTACGATATGGCCAATTCTGGATAGAAGGGATAACCCGTATCCCACATCATACTGTGTTTTGAACCAACTGGCTAATCCAGTCTTGTAACCCGCTGGTTCTCAAACACAGTGAGACTTTTACATTGCCAAATAAAATTTTAAAAAAATAGATGACTTGATGTCTGCCTAGATTTAAATGCATCAAAATTAAGAGTATAACAAAATGAGAGAGAGAGAGAGAGCACCTGAGTGAACCTCGTCAGTTACGGATAGACAGTTTCCATAAAACTAGCAGAACCGGCTAGGAGAAGACAGCAGCCGAATACCAAACACCTGAAGAGTATCAGTTGAAACAGTTCTGATAATATTATAACACAGAAGAACAGCTAGGATGCAATAGCACGTAACAAGCAAAAGCTATGACTAAAAGCAAGCAAATGCATAGATGAAAACAACAAAACATCGGATTCTTAAATAGAGCACACGGGATAACTACAATACTTTAAATGAGATATTTTATCAACAAGACAACACGTCATTAACTAAAAAATGAAGATAAAAACCAGGCGACAGAGCTTGAACAATGAACAAGACTAATACTCAGTTGCACACTGAAACACATAATTACGATCATTGGAGCAAAATTGTTTCTTCTTTCTTCTTCTACTTCAGTAATAATCCACCAAATTGATTGAACACTCAAGAACTAAAATCAACCAAAAGGTGAAGATTGGATAACTATAAACCCCTTTTACATATAGGATAGACCATAGACCCCATAAAAAAAATTAAAAATCATTTCAAACAAATCATAGAAAGAATCGTGCAAAACAAGTGGTAAATCCGAAACAAGAGGGGAATTCCGAGACTTTGTTCAAGGTAGCTAGAGTCACAAACTCCAATAAAAAATAAATAAATAAACAGAAAGAGGGATAGAAGCACACAAGTTGAATAAGCAAAGACTAATACTATATACCCAAATATGCTGAATTCGATTACATATCAGTAAATCGAAGCTAATTGAGAAAGAAACATTGAAGTAGAAGTTGTTCTATCTGAGATGGTCCTCAAGTTATAACTGTTTATCATTCTGCGAATTGCAGGGGAAAGGAGAAGAAGAAAAAAACAAATATTCTAATTCAATTTCCACCCTTTAAAACTTACTGAACTATGCTAAACTCGGAATCTTCAATCAAACTCAAAATTCTCTTTCCACGGAGTCGAGAACAAGAATAAAAACATCAATTCATTGGCGTGCACGTTCTACGAATAGTTGAATACAATTCCACGTACCAAAGGAGAAAAAAAAAGTTGAAATGGAAAATGAAAGGGCACGCAAATGATGATTCCCCAGCTTGCAGATGAAAAATAGATTGGAGCGAAAAGTAGAAGAGGAATTGATGATCGGAGATCTAAGGAAGAGGTAGTTACCGAGCGCTGGATTTGATTTGGGGTTAAAGAAGCGGTTGTAGGGTTTTGAAATCCGGTGAGAGAGAGAGTGAACGGAGGAGGCCGACAGGAGACAATGAAGAGAGAGTGATGAAGAGGCGCGTGTTCGTAGTGAGCGTACGCTATAACCAATTTTAATAGTCCACGGATTCTAGGGTTACGTTTCTCTTCTTTCTTTGTTTTTCTTTTTTAATTATTTTTTATCTGCCTTCTACGTTCTACCGCAATTATTTTGTTTCTTTCAGAATTTCTTAACAGTTTTATGACTCACACCACATGTGAAATTCTAGCATCACTTACGCAGCTTCTTTAATTCAAAGGACATAAAGGATTGCGGCATCTTAAAGTTGGACTCAAACTTATCACCGTATAACATTTTTTGGGTTTTAAATTTTGAAATTCAATTACACATGTCTTTTTATTCTAATTTAATAGTAGTTTAATTTAAACATTGTCAAAACTCTACAAAAATCGGATTCTATTAATTTTGAGTTCATTTTAGATATCTGAATTTGAATTTAAGCTTTATTTCGCCTAACCTACTATAATTTGTAACCTGCATTAGATTGGGTAATTTATTTTATTAATATTATTATTGTTTGAATTAAAAAAATATAATTAGTATGTTTCAAATAAATAATAAGTAAAACAAATGTAAAACAAAAAATGAAGGAAATAACATATGAAATAAAATTTAAATAAAAAAGTAGCAATAATTTGGTAAATAATATAAACTTTCTATGTCGATTATGCTTTACTCAATAGTAAGTATTTTTTTATACTCATTAGGCAAGTAAGAAATATGGAAAGTACTTTCTATATCGATTAAAATAATAATTAATTTTAAAAGTCTTATAAAAATTATTAGCACTAACAATGTTAGTTAATTTTGTTCCAAAATAAACAATTATTTCATTATTCATACAATTGATATGTTATGATTCACGCCTTATCAAGAATGCAATTTCTACCGTTGGATTTTGGTGCATGTTAAGCAGTCATCGATACGATGTGGCCTTTGTACATGTTGTTAAAGCCTTCCTTGCCAAACATAAAGAGTTCGTCTAAGTTCTTGGTGGTAATTATTGTTGTGTAGAGTTATTTTCTTGTATTGTATGTTGGATTTCCTGGTTTTTATGTGATGGGAGGGCCAAATTTGTGATTTATTATGTGCTAAACTCATAGTCGCACTTGGTGTCCTTTCGTGGCACTAAGCATAGTTCAATCAAGGGCACTCTTTCTTACTTATGTCAAGCGCAAGATTGGTGACACCGGATGTGAGAAGAGAGAATTGTCTCATGTTGAGCTTAAGTTGAATGACATTGAACATGAGATGAGATAATTGACCTTGTTTGGATCGACATCAAGCACTACAGGGATAGAAAATCATCTCAGGATAGCGTGAAGTTTGTTGTGGGATTTTGTCATGCCAAACAAGAGGTCCTAAGGATCACTACCTAATCCACATTGGGTGCGGATCAAATGATGTTAGGCGTGGGCAAAATAAAAAGACCCTTGCCTCAATGGCCTTGGTCGCAAGTTGGATAATGTTAGGCATGAGTTGCCTTATTTTAACTTGTTTTATGATAAAATTGGTGAACATGTATAGGATAGTTGGACCTATTACATGATACATGATGATTGAGTTGTGTTGTATGTTGTATATTGTTGTATGATGTTGAATCTATATACATGGATCTAAGATAGCATATAATTGATTTTGTTGAGTTGAGTTGCATGTTGTTTAATTGAATCGTTGAAATTTGAGCTGGGTTATATGATATTGTTGAATAGTTATTTTGAGAATGTTTTGGCATTAAAGTTGTACTATTTTGATTGACCTAGAAATAGAGGAAAAGTTGTTTTAAAAGTTGCATATTTCATTATGAGGGTATTGTGTTATAATGCTTTGAGGGCGAGTTTGTTGAAAATCTTTAATGGAATAAGTTAACCCTTTAAGTAGATAGTTGAGTCTTCTTTAGGACCTTAGTTGATGTGGTATGTGGGTCAAGTCGAGGCATATTGGCTATAAGTGACCAATATTGATTTGTATGCGGGCAAGATCGAGACATAAATGTATAAAGTGACCAAATTTAGAGTAAGGTACAAGGTATGGGGTTAAAATCCCTAACTAAGTACTGGAAGAGCTGCAATATTTAGAGGGTAGTT